ACAATACGTTTTAACACCATCAAACAACATCTACTTATCCTAGGTCCTTGGGAAGGACTTGAGAGGTGATAAAAATGCCAAATCCAGCCTAAACATCTGGCTGACTGTGCGACCAACCATAATAACGTAATAATAGGTCATTGGACTATAATTGTTTAAATGGCCAGGGCTACAGAGAGCTGCTTAAGCATGATACCACTGCAGTCCACAGAATAGTGTTAATAATCTCAGAAATCATTGGTAGAATGGAGTCCTTGGGGACCATTGTAAGCCAACTTGTGTGAGGGACTTAACAAATACAGGCATATCAACTTTCTCAAGAAATAAAATATGACAGCATAATATCTGTTAATATTATATTTAGATAGGTTGGTGTATGCAATTGGAGCTTCATGGCAGCTTGTGGCTGTGGGATTATGTCTTGATCATGTGACACTGGCAGAATCTTCACGTTATTACAATCATTTTGTGTCATTCATAGAACACACAGCACAGCTAAGTTCTCTGGCAATCACCCAAAATTTGTGGATAGACTGTTTATCTGAAGTGTTAATTCTGCTGCTGTTCTAAAAATGTCTTGGAGCCCTCACTTAAAGAGTTTGCTTCATGCCAATCAGCCCCTGGTGAATTGCCAGCTGCATTCATTCTGTTAAGAACAAAGAAATGGTGGCAGGGAGGGAAATTGCTATTTCCTTCTCAAATGCTGAAATTGACAAGCAGCTCTACTGACCCACTACAGTATTTGTATTTTTTGACACAATATTTTTATTGTTTGCTGGATATCAGTGAGATTTGTTGGATTGATACCTAATCATGGTATGTGCTGAAATGTATCTATTATTGTACTATATCTATAACATTTGTTTGCTAGATCATGCTTTTTGGTTATTGTTTTCTACTACATAGTTGCATTTATTTAATAACACATTATTTACCTTTCAAATGCAAGAACTTTCTAAGGTAATACATAATCTTTCTTGGTAATAATAGACAAATATCTATTACTGTTGTCATTGCCTTTTTCTGGCACTTGTTGCTGTCACTGATGATTTCCACCTTAGTTAAAGTTCTGGTATTCCCTGGTGATCTCTCATTTCAGTATTAACCAGACCCAACCTTGCTTAGTTTGTGAGCAGAGGCAAGGTCAGCCAGGCTCTGTCACCTTCTGAGATGCTTTTTGTCAATAATTAGAATTGGTTTGGCTTTGGCTATATATTCAAAATCTGAGTACACAGTGTTAAGATACTTTCCCTATATTTTGTTCAATGAGCTATATTGTGCCCCCCACCCTCAATAACCTACTATTTTATAGACTAACACAAAGTATAAACCTCACCAAATAATTTGCTACTGGCTTTTAGCATACTTGATTGAAATTTATGGAAAGAAAGAATGTACTGCTATATACCAGGATTGCTAACCTACTGAGATATCTGTCATAGAAAAGAGCTAAACTAAAAAGGATCATGAAGTGATCTAGACAACAATACTTACATTCTTTGTTTGGGTTCACATTTATTTGATGGATTGCTAGTTTTATTAGTATGAGGTCAGCTTCTAAAATTTGAATGAAGTCACCATTACGGAACTGAAGAAAAGAATCATATAGGCCAATGCTCCCAAACCTGGTGACTCCAGGTATCTTGTGACATCAACTCCCACAATCCCCAAACCAGCTAACGGGGTCTGCAGGAGTGAAAATCCAAAGCATCTTCAAGACATTTAAGTTGGGGTTTACTTCTAAAAGCATAAAAAAGCCAAATTTTCATTCTCAAATAAATTATTGAATTCATTACCTACAATAAACTTTTGTTCTCTAATAACTTGTTAAAGTAAGGTATCTCCTTCATTTTTCAATATATTTAGAGCTCTTTTTGCTCTAACACTGACCATATATATTATCTCTTGCTCAAATTTAATTAACAGATTGGTTTGGAAGATAACAAGTAAAAGCCTTTCCTGTTCCATGAGTAGATCCAATAGAATTTCCATCACATACCACTGCCATCCACTGTTTCACAGTCTTCTTTGCCAGCAAAAACATTCTTAGATTTTAGCATTTGCAATTTGTGTCAGATGAATTTCTAAATTTATTATCATCTCTACAAAAAAAAATGTACTTGGGAGAAAATATGTTTGGAATTATATGTTTGATTATCTGCCAATATCACTGCATTTTTCAAAGTGTTTTCATTAAAAGCAAGTTTTGCTTTGTACAGAACAATGGCTTGGATTCTAAGATGATTTAAGAATGTTTATGGAAGGAAATTTTCCCACCCATTCTCCCCATAGCCTTCTATGCCCTTTGAAAAAGCATTTCTAGAGATTCAGGGCCCTTCCTGAACAAAGTGGGATTGCACAGGATAAGAGAGGCTGGTAATTTTTCTCTCTGCAAACCTACAGGATCCAAACCAGCAGCTATTCATGATGATGTTATGAAACGGCTAGGAAACTGAGGTGCAGGCAAAAAAAAATTTGTTGCAAAACGTTGCAACAACTATACGTTGCAAACGTTGCAAAACGTTGAAAAATCTACATTGTTACTGTTCTAAGTAGTACAGTATTAAATAATGGATGGGTCCACACATTGAGATAAACCATGATTTGTTGTCTAAGCCAAATTGACTGGATTCATGCAACATGCTAAGAGTATGTATACAAAGTTAATATTCTAAAATTCAATTTTGCTCTAGAGACCTTAATTATCTGGTGTTTTTACCATTACTAGCCTTTTAAAAACCTTTGGATTTCTTATTTCAACCAAAATGATACCTCCAATATTTGTTTTATAGAATATTATGACCCCTATTCTTATGTCTGAATTGTTAATGAAAACTCTTTAGGCTTCTCCCGTAAATTTTTCCATTTGCCTGAAGAAGTTATAAATTATTTTCAAACTTCATTGCAGCTAATATATGTGCGACAACTCTTAAAACCAACTTTGTATTTACCCAACTTAATAGGGTTACCCATGGAAATAATATTTGTAAGAGCCTACAATTGATGTCATTATTAGTCCATTTAAATAAATCGCTAAAGAGATATTTATGCTAATAACAAAAATGTAACAAATTAACTAATATCATGGTTAGCTCATTGGCAACTCTCTCCAATTTCTCATCATCACTGAGCCATTTAACATGCGAGTGTGACAGTAATGACATCTCAGAGATCAGGGGAATCTTACTGGACAGGCCATACCATTAGAACACCTTCCCTTCTGTTCAGGCTCAGAAGTGGCTGCAACTAGCCAGTTTCTCACCCTGTCACAGCTAACATATGAGGCAAAAAGAACAACTTAAAGCCCCCAGGCTTTCCAAATAGAATAAGGCTGTAACTGTGGGTGCTCTACTTAGTGTTAATTTATTTGTTATGGAACAATTCTGAAGTCACATCATTGTTCATGCTCCTTTTTATTATTCTCCAATCTCTTGATTCTCAACTTCAATGGCTTCTTCTGACCTTTTGCCACCACCCTGGCTTTTCCTGAATTACAGTCTGCATTCCTGGTTTCTGACTCCTTGTGATTAAACCGTACAGGTAGTCCTTGCTTAATGACACTTGTTTAGAGACTATTTGAAGTTAGGACAGCACCGAATAGGCTTATGACTGGCCCACGAAGTTCTGGCTGCAGTGCCCCTGCTGTTACGTGAACAAAATTCAAGCCCACCCACATCTACAACCACCTTTTGGCTGCCCACCTACACACTGCTGCCGGCTGCGTGGCCCTGCCCACTCCACCATGCTTGCCACACTGCACACCATTACTGTATCAGCAGAGTACAGTAATAACTCGGTTCACAAATGCTTCTGTTCATGAACCATTCGGTTCGTGAACAGCAGTGTTAGCAAAATTTTGCTTCTGTTCATGAACTCCGCATTGGGTGATGAACACGACCCGTGCCCATCTTCCCTGCTCTGACACGTGGTTGTGGCTTCCTCTAGGCGAGATCGCGGTTG